GATTGTGAAACAAATAGGCAGGAAGAAATGGAGATGGATTGGCCATACGCTGAGGAAACTATCACGTGATATCACTAGACAAGCCATCGCTCGAGTGGAACCCGAAAAGGAAGCGGCGAGTTGGTCGTCAAGTGCAAGGGTGACTTGGAGGAGGTCATGTGACGAGGAGATGAAAGCATGTGGACAGACTTGGAGCAGGGTGAAAAAGTTGGCAGAAAACAGAAGGCAATGAAGGTGCGCAGCTGAAGCCCTATGTTCCTCTAGGAAATAAAGGATATAATAATAAGAAATAATAAAGTGGTCACACTATGGTATGAATCGGCAGAAGTTATATAATTCATGGACTGGTCATCGGTCTATGTGCCAGCTCGCCTGGTAACCATAGGGTCCTGGGTTCGAGCCCCGATGGCGAGGGTACTGATGAAAAGTCACAAACTAGGACAGAATAGATATTCAGCACTCCCAGCTGGTTTTCCAATGGTTCTCTAACTGATATCAGCCCAAGATGATAACATCCAACCAATCATAGAAAATCCCTACAAAAGCAATACTTGAAAAACGTGACTGTACAGTATACTTTTAGAATTATGAAATCTGATATATACATTTAACTTTATAAAATTCTTCTCATTGATGAATTTGAAAAAGGCAAGAACGATGAATGTACCCAGGATAATCTGAGCTCATGTTTGTGTTTTTATTAATTCGTGTATTCTTCTCACCCGAATACATTCAATTTGAAAAATACCAAAATTATAAATTAAATTAAAGATGTGAACATACTTTTTACAATGACAATGAGTAATTGATTGGAAGTGAGAATAAGTAACACCGGTCAGGAATAATGTGAGTTGTTGAATAATTAAGAATGAAAATGAGAGGTTAAAACCAAAGTAAAATAAGATAGTGGACATACTTTTTCTTTTTACAGAGTTCAGGGTTGCGTTTGACGAATTGACTGCACCTCGGCCATAAACAAAAGCCGAAACCTGATGCCCTTTGTATCACTTGGCCTCACCTTGTACATGATCTTGAAAGACGATTTTGGTGTTTATAAATTCTGTGTTTATCAATTCACCTGCTCGTTTTGGAGTTAGTTATATTGACCGCACAAAGCGCACACTTTCTAAACGCATCTCTGAACATTATCCGGAATGGTTAACAAAGGACGATGCAAGACTAATTTAATTCTCCAGCACTTGGTGAACTAAAGCCACGTAGCCCCACCAGACTCGTCTTCCAGAATATTCAACAAGGTGAGTGCAAATGGTACAAAAGTCATCAGGTTTCGGCTTTTGTTTACGGCGGAGGCGCTAGCGATCCGTCAATACAACCCCGAAGAACAAAATTTCCTTCTTTGAATTTGTCTTTTATTTTCTTCATGACTCAATGGGAATTTTATTGGAAAAACTTAAATATTCCTATAACTTATTGACAATAAAATAGTCAGAGCGAACAATTGTGGTTTCAATAAATTCTTCCCTCCTCAGGCTACGCAGTTATAAATCCATTAAGTTAATCTAAGCATATAATAACCAGCCAGTATAGACAAATTATAATCATATCAGGAGTGTATTGGGGAACAAGTATGGTATGGAATGGAACAATAGCCAGTTTGCTTTATAATATGTTTGGTCAAAGAGAACATGAGGTAAAGCCTTTCAACGACCCCAACCAGTTTGCTTCTAAACATAGTAGGTGTACGTTAGATGCCTCTGTTGTCCTACATCATAGTATAGTCTCTAGTTTAGATAAAGGAGCTAAATACGTTCGCTGTGTCTTCCTTGACTACACATCTGCATTTGACTCTGTTTCCAGGTCTCTCTTGCTAAGTAAGCTTGCTGCAACACAAGCTGAGAGATGGACAAACAAGTGGTTGCATTCCTATTTTTCTGATAGGAAGCTGTACACCGTCTACAATGGAAAGCCGTGCACTACCTCACTTAATTTAGCTGGTGTTCCTCAAGGTGTTGTTCTTTCTCCCTTTCTGTTTCCCTTTTTCTTACATGACTTGCCTCGTTCTGATGTAGCCACTTTTGTTAAGTATGCCGATGACCTCTCGGTTTCTATGCCTGTCAACTCTCAGTCAGATTGTTCCAAATTAAATAACTTTCTGTAGGAAATCAGTCAGTGGTTCTCTTCAAACGGACTTAAGCTTAATCCGTCTAAATGTCAGGTAGTCAATTTCACTTTCAGACGTAAATGTGACCTACAGCAACTAGTTAGCTCACATGGCCTCACTCTCATTGACGGCACAGAGGTTGAAAATACATCTTATGTCAAGTACCTTGGGCTGAGTTTTTCCACCGATCTTTCCTGGTCTTCCCACATCTTGCTAGTTACTAGAAAGTTCTTTCGCTTAACATTCTACATAAGGAAATTTAGGCAGTCTGGCATAAAGCAGTCTTTGCTTTCTCAGTTTGCATATTCTTGTATTCTACCCATCTTCCTTTACTGCTCTCTCATGATCTCATTATAAATTGAGATAACAGTGGCGTTCGGATGAAGTGTAGCCTCTGTGTAATTACATTTGTTATATTTGCAGCGAGAAATCCCCTTGTATACGGAGTAATTAAAGATTCCTCATGGTAGTAAGGTGTATTTTATCAACTCGTTTTATTCGCCTAACTAACAAGAAGTTTGTGAGGAAGCAGCACTTTGTATTTCATATGCCCTCAAACCTCGAACAGATAACTATTTAACCTTAATCTTAACTGTTTTAGACAAAAACCAAATAAACAAACAAGTCAACTGTAAGATAAAGTGAGGAATAAAGATTCTACTTTTTGTGACGATGCATCTCTGCACAATTCTACAACATTCTTAAGGCTGATAACTTCACGTCAGTTTTTTTACCCAATAGGGTCTTAAAATTTTGTTAGTGATTGTGTTTCTTTTCTAGAAGTTCTTATAAGATGATACTGGAAGGACTTAGTATTTCAATAACTACAGCCAATCCCTATCCTTATCATGACACATAATTAACCTAACAGTCATCATTGGAATCGCCTATATTTCGAGCTACTTTGCATATGCCGCGGATTTATTATCGTGAATTGAAATGCTCTGATATCATTGACATACTGTCTGCTAATATGGATGCCTCGACGATTTCCGAGGACTAGAATGATGTTGTTTTTGTTAATGGTGACTAGCAGTGGAATCCAGGATGCACATTTCGTCTCATTTGGGACCAGTCGTCCGGATAGAATCTCACCCTGAGCGAGTGATGATGCCTTCACTTAGACCAGGATATTTCAGTTCAACCAAACAATAATAACTAATACTCATTGTACAAGAGGTGATTCTTATGACCAAGGGGCCCAGTAGATAAAACTTTGACGTTTGAAACGATAGGTGTGGGATTTAGGCCTCCGCAAGAGAAATGCCACTAACTAAGGATGCAGGTACATCCATTATTGAGTTCCAAAAAGGGTGAAATGTTCACCTCAGGTCCTAGTGCTAGTCATTATCAACCAAAAATAACATTCTGACGCTTGATTAACTACATGAATGAGGCCACAAAAGCTAAAGATAATACAATCTAGAAAAAAAATTAAATGCTTCACTCACATGAAATAACTGCTGGCACTAACAAATCAATAAAGCTAGACTGAGTAGTAGTTACCAAACCAAGACATTTAAATAAACAAAATATTATTTTCAATTAAATCTGTCTCAGGCCTTATCCTAGTACAAAGCTTTAAACAGATAATAAATTGTTACCCATGTAAGTGATCTGTGGGTCAATGGTCAGTGTTAAACGTTGTAAATAATGCAGGTAGTAACAACGACCATCTAACAGTGACCAGCAGTTCTTTTAATTAGCGATAATGAAAATACAAATAGCGAAATGCAGGTGGTAATATGAAAAAAATGTGGATAGCGTTTCAATGATTAAATGACACAGAAATCTGAAAAATTTACAAGTTGCATAACACTGACTACGTAATGAATAGGCAATCGAAATTTAATATTTAAATATTACCAAGGCGGGTGAAGGATAAGTAACAATGAAACGCTTTATTGATGAGCTTGTTAACTGAATCCATTGAAGCTAAAGAAGTGACAAGGATATAACAAACGGCTTAGCAACGCAGTCTGAGGTTAAACATCCGTATTCCACATTCTATTAAAGACAGGTTTGAATTCTTTTCTTAAGTTTCCATGGAATATGAAGTGTATATCCATCATAACGTTCTATCTGTTCCCTTGATGACTGCTATCAATCAAGTTTGAGGAAATTAGGCATCTTGTTGACTTTGTTTAATATCTTCTAGGCCAGGGACGAAGAAACTCTGCCATTTGTCTTTTAAGCTGCTTAGTTGTCCTACTTGCATAAGTTCCTTCACAGGAGTAGCTAAACTTTTACATGCACACAGAAGTGTAAAGAGCTAAGCAGTTTATCTATCACCTAGGGAGTGATGGTCGTTCAGCTGAAAAAATGGTAATCAAAGGGCAGTGGAACTACAAGTCAATTTCATAGCACCGAACAGCAAGAGGAAAACAATCGTTTGTCTTATTATCACCAATTTTCTTATTACCTATGTAATTTACAATATTGACATCTATCATTGATCCATGAGTAATCATAACTGGTTATACTTTCATACAAACATAGAATTCATGTGCCATCTGGGTCGGGTCCCAGTGGCTTAATGGTCTAAGAGCTCGCCTTGTAGCCATTATGTCCTGGATTCGAACTCCGGCTGGTTCGTACTGATGCAGAGTCCCAAAGTGAGTTGACGAAACAGCTTGCTGTCCAGTACTCCCAGCTGGTTTTCCAATTGTTCTCTAACCGATGTGTCAGCTCATGATGAAATCCTCCAACCAATCAAACGAAATCCCTACAAAACTAATAATTCAGACTTAATTCAGTATAATGGAGTAAAGCCTGAGATGGATTACACTGGAAAACATACTCTCCATTTACATACCTTCTTTTCGCTTAAACAGGTGTCAATGAAAACCGACTGGAAAAGAGTAATTAAAATTCATACCTTAAACTCATCAGCGCTGCGATATTTGTTTCAGAACTTATTTGGATAAATCCATATTGAAATTTCAGTAATTCGTAGGCTTCTGGTTGATTGACAACCTTAGTTAGATCTTCGCCTCCAATCGCTCCAATAACTTTTGATGGATTGATGAAAACATTTTGTAAGATAACAATGTTAACATCACGAGTATGAAGGATTGTACTCTTCCCGTGAATATTTGTTTTAACTGGAAAATATTCACTTGGTAGAGTGATATGAAAGTATATAACAAAGTAACACATAACTATCAAAATAAGAAGATATAGTGACTTTGATCGAAAGTTATTCACTGACAATAGACTTTTTTGAAGAATCATACTTCATGAAAGCTTACATATTCTTTTAACAGAGATTACTGAAAATGGACAAAAAAGAAAGAGAAAAAATATATATTAGCACCTTCAAGGATATTATGTAAACACATAAAAATGCTTAACATTTTTAACGAAGGCGAAACTGAAGCTGTGAGAGTGAATTGATCAGACTTCTGGTAGATATAGTATCGAAATGGCCATCAGCTGGAAAGAGAAATAACCTGGCTCTATGCTTGATGTTATTTATTGTATGGAAGCTTAAACACAATTGAAATAACATCTTCTTTTTTTTGTTATCGCATATTAACTCGAAGTCTTTTCAGATCAGTGATTATCGAACTACAACGTACTTCTGATTCTGACTGAATACTAGTTAGTAATAAGTGTAATGTATTTAGTCCATCATTTGGTGCAGACTGAGTTCTACCAGAGTAATTTGCAGGTGGCCATCATACCGCACTTTGAATTGTTGGTATTAGATGGTTGGAGGCAATCGGTACAAACCTATGTACCTAGGTTTCGTGTTAGTTGGCACTCATCGGTAAGCAAGGCATGTCTGCAACCTTGAAGAAACTCAAATCACTTTTGAGACTCAAACCTGTATCACCCAGTGATGCAGTGAGAGGCGTTACCACTGAGCCATCTTGGTTCGCGATCGACCTCTGTGATGCATCAGGATAGCCAGCCACCTAGAATGGTAACTACATTGATAATCTGAATGGTAGAATTCAGTCTGCACCAAACCAAGGACTAGACATATTCCACTTCTTACCAACTGGTGTCCAATCAAAAATATCCAATGCAGTCCTGCAAGAGGCAGTCGCTAGGCCGAATGGCGTATTGACAAAGTCTATGACTGCAGCGCCGGGTGATGGAGGTCCAAATCTCAGAAGGGCCATGAGTTCCTCCAAGGTTGCACATAAGCCTTGATAGTGAGTGCCAATTAGCACGAAACCCAAATGCACAGCTTCGTGCCGATTACCTTAAATCATCTCATACGCTTCTGATTTACTTTTCTCAAGCACCAATTTTGTAAACAATAAACTTCCATGATATTACCTTGTTTCAAAATGATTTTCAGTTTTCCCGTACACGTTTACACCCTTTACAGCTGAAATTATGATAGTACGTTTTTGAATAACGCCAGTCATGTTTAAAATAAATGATAACTTAGTTAGAATTTTGTGTTGTTTTTAATTTAATGTTGAAATTGAACTAAACAGTAGGTGAAAATCAGTAGTGATAACTGGAATCAAGCAAAAAGAGACTGAAAACTGCTATTTGCATATATAAAGAGGTATCTGTTACTCGCAGTTTATCAACAGTGATATAATGTTTGTTTCAGTCATACGAGAGTTCTACAATGGACTCCTTGTGTTTATGCTATTTCTGTATTAGATGCAATATCACTTTACAAAGGCAGTTGCGATTTTCTGTTAGATTAATAACTCTTCCAACGACATCAACATTAAATCTAACCTCGATGAGGCAAGTAAAAATGCATCATCCCCGAAACATATGACACCAGATGAATCAATCTTTGTTTGTTTAGTTTAGACGCAAAATGGTCAAAACAAAACCCCAGATTCATACCTTAGATCCCCTGCACTTTTTTTAGCTGAGATTGTGACAATGAACTTCTTCTACACTATCCAGGGCATTAAGTGTAACTACCAGGTAAGAGATTACAAATGTGTGTATAACACCGTAATTTTCATCTCCCAGAGCAATGATTCGCCGAATGTTTGCTGATAATAATTAAAACAAGACCTGAAAGGCCGTATTTTTTCCGTATTCCCGTATGATGCGAGTCACTAAATATATCTCAGGAGATGAAGTGTGTTATCTCTTAGAAATACTTGCATAAAAACAGCCAAGATCTTGCTAGTTACCTTAAACAGGATACGTGGCAGGACACATTACAAAGAGGCATACGTGTCATGCCACTTCACTTAGCAAGACGGTGCTCATAATATTAAATTCATAATTCTGTGGAACTATTCCATTGGCACCTGAGTATTCAAATAATAAAATGAACTGTTTATGTGAGTCTCTGACTTCAGACAGAGATGGGTCAGGGTAATTGTGCTGGCATATTTCAACTCCAGATTGCAAAATTTACCCCAGGATAGGCAGCAGTAATTAGGAACTGGAATGTAAAATCGAAAATAGGAATACACTTCGAAAATAAGGATTTAAAAAAAGATGCTTGCTAAAAAGTTAGCGTATTTAATTCTATAAAACTATTATTTGTGTTTAATGTGTCTGAGGTATATTGTGAAATCCTCAACATTCAGCAAACAAACGATCAACATTTTACTGCAATACTGACTAACCACTTGTTGTGAACTTGGGCCTGAATTCCTTATGGTACAAGAATGTTCAGTTGCATTTTCTCAGTCTTTTGATTCGTCAAATACTGCTTTCTATCATTTTATAGCCACATAAAAAATTGGAGTCATTTTTCAGTTATTTAAAAAAGCGCAAACAATCAGTCTCATATGGTTACGCGAGCCCAACATTCAATAATTCAATATCTAACAGACAACTCACTCACTTCTTGTTTTATTGGAACGGTTTCACACCTCCGGTAGATTTCAGTGCAGTCAATATTCCTGAATGCTGCTGGTCTATTTAAATCAGTAAGAGGAGGTTCACTGCTCTTATTTTGGGAATGTATGATTTGTGAATTTCCTGTCTTCCGTTTAGGTCCACAAATGTATCAGAGTAGACAGTAAAAGGTAAGTTGAAACGGAATCTACAAAATGAGAAGGTTAGATAAATGAAATGTATGGAAATAGCAAGATGATTAGGGTGAGTTCATACATCACAGAAATAAAAAAGAAGGACAGAATGGGACAGCAGGAATGCAGTCGATGATCAAAGTTCTGAAAGTATATATAATTCTGAAGAGTTGAGTGCAATATATTAGGTACCAATGCAGTCCCCTGAAACTATTCGACCTCCACTATTAGTGTATGGTAACCTAGTGTAATTGTATGATGCTCCAGGCATCTGTCTAATTGAATGACTGGTGTGGTGTCTGCCGGTGAATTCCTCATCTGACAGACCTTAAAAAAAAAGTTAGCCTCTGCCTTGGCGATAAATTCCATCAGAGCTAGCCTTGAAGTTATCACAGTACCCTACGTCTGAAATAGGGTCACTGGAATACGGACTGTTTTGCGAAACTTGATGAGACCACCCTTGTCCTGTGTTAGTTGACAGTGTGCATGTTCGGCTGTCTCAATCGGCCATTTAAGTTCCATGAAAGTTTGATAGCCCTACCCCCTATTTCTGGGGGATTCACAATTGCTTTTAGGAGTGCATTTGCAGTGACACTGATCTTCTTTATGTCACGCCATCTTCTTTTTATGCATCTGCATTAATAGCTCACAAGTAAGTACTCACAGGTGTCCTCGCAAGAAATGCTTTGCTCAGTTTTGTTTTTCACCAACCGAGTTCACAATTAAATGCTAGAAAAACGACAAGAATAGATAAAATGTAAAAAGGAGCATAAAAGTGATACAAAAGCCTGTATTTATTCCATTAGTTGGTTCCTCCTCTTCTAAATAACACCAACTATTCTTAGTCATTCATTATCCCCCTGGTAGTGTATTCTCTCTATCCGTTATCAATGTGGCATGCAAGTTAGTGCAGTTTCTTGTGGACAACGAGGTGATGAAGATAACTAACCAAACAACCAACAGCAAAAATAACAACCAGCACCATTCACCACTCGCGGGAGAGATTTAGGAGAGGTTACCCCCATTTAATTATCCCGTTAGGAAGTATGGTTTCAACCACAGGCAAACGAAAAGGGTGAAGATGTCAAAACCAGACAACTGGGGAGCATCGGGAATGCAAAATACACTTTCATCAACCTGGAACCAGTGTTGAAATCCTCTGCACTCCACCTCAGCATAGGCGTAAAGATTCGTGTTCTCAATACCAGTGTGAAGTCACTCAGCCAGCTCTTCTATACGGATCAGAAACTTGCACTGCGTGTACGTCACGAAAAGCATTTCCAACAAGTTACAGACTCTTATCAGCAGCAGCTCACTTCGCTGGCTGGCTCCATACTGAAGATCAGGCCGGCGGACCAGATAGAATTAGCAACAAGAGGCTCTGACTGGCAACAAGCAAGCAGGCTACAGCCTATGTGGGAGTAAATGAAGATGGATGGGTCATATACTAAGGGGGCTATCGAATGACATCACGCGCGATGCAGGCAATCGCTAGAGCAGAATCCTACTCGGAAGAAGCTAGTGGGCTATCGATGACATGGAATACATAGTGTGAGTTAAAGGGGACGAGAGGCTATGGTCAATGCTGAGCCCAGCCAGAGAGAAGAGCAGGGAATTTAATAAAGTGGAAGTATTTTGTTGAAGATCTATCTTCCATTCGAAACCCAAGCGAATAATAATGAAAATAATAATTCACAATAATGCCTATGATCATTTTGCTCCAGTATTCTATTAAACAGCAAACGACTAAAATATGGCAGCCATCGTTGATCCTCGTGAAACTGCAGATCCGTTCGAACAAATGAACCGTACGTTACTCACTCAATATTCGCTAACAACCCGTAACACACAAAAGCACTTACAGCCGTCATTCTGCTGTTAACACTCAAAGTTCCATTATCAATTGATAGGTAAATCTTATAGCTTTATACCAGCTTCTCTTGTCAATGCCTCCTTCTCTCCTGGAGGAGCTACTGGTGTTCGTGTGATCGATTGAATACAACGTGCTTTTTCCTCTCTAACAGGAAAATACTAATTTTGTGAATTATCCGCTTGGGAAACCTGATCTCTCAAGCCGGTGAATTAAATTCAACCATTACTTACATAATAAATCTCTGTGTGGTAAGTCATTAGGACATTAATATACGTCAATGTCTAGGTCACTAAAATTGGCCGTGAGAAAGGCTGATTCAACAACCAATCACGACACACTTAACGTGGCAAATATGATTCGCAGATAGATGGCTCCACTTTCCGAGAAAAACCGAAAGACATAATAAAAATAAAAATTTGTATTTTCATATAAACATATAAATTTACACGAAAATGCATGCAAGTATGGTATAATGTCAAATCTTAAACTGTCTACATATTAATAATGTTTCAACAGTTAAATATCTGATATATATATAAATACACATTGTCTGAACTAGGCTGTATAGTTATTGAATTGTACATTTGTCCTCCAGGTTGAGCGGGAAAATCGACTTCGTTTCGTTTTCATCCCTTGGTTGTAGGCATACCATAACCAACCAGTATTGAGGTAAGTACAGCGTTTACAAGGGATTGGAAGCTGTTTTTTAGAAAAGTTAAAGTGCTAAGGTGAATCATTAAAGTGTAATAAATTAAGTAAATGCAATATATCATTAATAAATACATTTATATAGAAAACAGGATGGGGAAGTAATTAATCCTTAAACCGACAACGTTCATTTGCAACGTATAATAATACCAAATACTTCGTACTATCATGATGTCCACCTTTGGCTTTAATACAATTATTTTCAAGCCAGTTGTTTTTATTTCACACCTTCTTGTCTATTCGGTGCACAATACTAGCATTGTCATAGCATAATGCATGTGAGTTCATGGACGTCCCTTTTATTGTGGATGACAACACCGACGACGACCGAGTGACAAAAGTTGAACTCAGCGCTGCATCAGAAGCCGTTGTTGTTCGGCTTTTAGAAGGTTGTCTAACTGCAAGATTACCGCCAATGCTGTCTTTTATTATTACCTCCAGTTTAGCATTACCATCCAATGACACTTGGGCTACAAGCTGATCATTTACCCTGACGGCCTCATGAGTGTCCATGCCTTTTGCAACCGCATCTGTCTTTAATTCTGCTTCACGTTCAAGTTGTACAGAACCTTTGTTCAACTCAGCAGTAGAAGTCAACCCACTCATTTCATCATTATCAGTGATAGACAAATCTGCACTAACATGAGCACTGTCACAAATATTCACTTTATCACCGTTCGTATGACCAACTTCATCATTTTCAAACTCTTTAATAACAGCAGTAAACAATTTCGGTTCTTCCCCATGAATTCTTAAAGGTTTTATACCTTTTCTCTGACTGGTAACACCTTGTAAACGTGTGGAGTCAGACCCGGATTCTAAAACTGTAACTCTCTTCTTCTGCACAAACTGCAGTGTCGTCTGTGACACTCGATTCAACAATGGCTTGCCAAATGCAGCTACAGGCTTCTTCACCGCATCATTATCGTCACACGCCTCGGAGTCAGACCTTGATGACGCTGACTTCACAATTAGCTTACCACCAGACTTAATCACTGTTTCACAGTTCGCCTTTGTATGCACTTCTTGCAAACGGACGAAACACAAACGTGTTTGTCTCGCAACTTGTAACTTATCTGTTGGGGATGTCTCACGAATGCTGTTACACTCACTAAGTTTATATGGATTACTAGAAACCATACAGCTTTCTCGATATCCGCTTTGCTGAGACACTTTAATCATAAATGATTGTGCATTGCCCACAGACTTCTCTATTCTAGGGGTTGGATGCAATATACTGGAAAACTTGCTCATAGATTGATTGACACGACCTTCTAACAATTTCAGGATATCATAGAAAATTTGGCTCAATAATTTCATCCTCTATACGGGAGCATATCGTCAACCACTTCCGTTGCAGTCGAGTAGGTAGGCGTCTCGCTATTATCTCTGGGACGGAACTTGAGTTCAGATCACTCATGCAATTCATCGAAATCAACGTATTCATGTAAGTCATCAGATTATCCAAAAACTCAGATAGTGCCTTGGAGTCATCTCCCAATTGATTACCATTACCTTTAATAGCCTTGAATGCATTCCCTACAATCATCGAAGGTCTTCCGAATCCTTGATGCAGTATACTCAGCCTCAGGGTATCCTTCGTTAGGGAGCATGAACTTACAGCGCTGTATGGCTCTTGAAGCAACTCAAGTGCAGTACCTCAACAACTACATCAACTTCATTTCATCATTTAATAAAAGACTACTCAACATTATCTCAAACTCCTTTACAAACTGTGGATAGTCAGCTGGGTTTCCGTCGAAACATTGAGGCTCATTGTTAGGCCTAGTTTCCCCAGACTGCGAAACATGAACAACGGACTCATCGTGCTGAGCATCATACATATTATTGCAATTAACAAGCAACTAAGCATTACTTACTTTCCTGCTTGCTTCGAATAAGCTTCGTCCCTTCTTTGTCCCAGGAATCATCGGACTTGACCAAAAATTCCAGGAAAGTTCCAGATGACGCTTGTTCAAAGAAGACTTGCAGGCACCAGGAGAGACGAACAGAAGCTATCCAAAACTCTCATAAACTGTCAGTGTCCAACTCTAACTATGCTGGACTTCACACTGTCCCTCGAAGACTTTCAGAAACACTTTGTATTGACCAACGCGAAAACCAGAACACTGACTGGTGACTCCAGAATCATTTATTCTTACGCCAATATGCAACCAACAATAAG